GCAGCGCTCCCCAGCTCGCTGACAGTTCAAACTCCTTTGGCACACACGGCTTGTGCTGGGGCTGATGTTAAACACGGCCCCTTGGAGGTGATTTCTGCCCTGGGCATGTCCCTGCTGTCCCCTCCTCCTTCCCACAGCCTTCCCCTCTCCCAGTGCTGGGGATCAGCTGGAGGCATCCCCACCACAGCATAGCTGGGTGACTCCCCACACAAATTTTGGCCACCCAAGGCCCTCCAAGAGTTTCTTCCTCCTGCACTTCCTCTTCTTCCTCCGCCTCCTGCATTTATCTCTGGATGGGCCGCACCAGCAATTCCCCCAAAAGCAGCCCAAGGATGGCCAGAAGCTGAATATATTTTGCTTTTAGTGATTTACCTGATCAGGAGCACATGGAKATCAGTATCCAGCACATTTCAACTGGATGCAGCGTGGCCCACCATTAAAACCCAGAAAAACTCTAATGTTTATGGAAAAGTACTGGAGCACACAGAAAGCCAGTATTCCTGCTCCTCGTGTGCAAAAACTGTCACCTCCCCCGCCAGAGGGATGCTGGAAGAAAATCTTCCTGTTTATTTATTTCTTTGGAGCASAGGTGCTTCACATTTGTTAAAATAAAATATTCAAACAAACAAAAAAATCCCCGTGGTGAGAAGTAAGGGAAATCCATTCCAGTGCTTGACAACCTTTTTCTTGAATAAATTTTTCCTAATATTCAATTTAAATTTCCCTCAAGTGGCAACTTGAGGTCATTTCCTCTCATCCTGTCCCTYGTTTCCTGGGAGAAAAGTCTGACCCCCACCTGGCTGCACCCTCCTGCCATGGGRTTGTGGAGAGGAAGAAGATCCCCCCTGTGTTTCTCTTTGATCCACTGAGCTCCACTCTGGTGCTACACAGAGAGAAAAAGAAGAAAGTTTGAGAAAAAAGAAATCATCTAGGTTCTTGCATTGTTTTCTGCCCCCAGGCTTCTTTTAGTGGGGCTGCATTTTCCTGAGGGATTACACTGCTSAGAAAGGAGAGGTCCTAACAGCTTTTTTCCACACCTCTCAGCCAAATCCCAGCTAGCTGGCAGGAAGGCACTCTGCGTGACATCTTCCTCTACACACACGAGGAAGGAGCCTCTGCAGCCTCAGAAATGCACTCCAAACCTTTTCCATCAAGTGGGAAACACAAGTAAGTTCTGTTCTGCTTCAAAATGTCACAGAATCACAKATTCAGAAAGGCTGGAAGACATCTTCACAGTCATCAAGTGAGCAAAAATGAGGGAAAGGTGACCATTTCTTCTGTARGATGGTTAATGGGAGAGTTTGGTGAAAAACTGAAATATTCCTCACTTTTTGGTGAGAAAGCAAAAATAAAACATGAAGGAGAAGGTTTGATAGCTGTCAGATATCAATATGATGGGGAAAATAAAGTTATCATTTTCAAAGGGGAATRGGCAACTCAGAAGGAAATAATAAAGGAAGAAGGTGCAGTTATGCTTTCATCTTTTGATCAATGCATTGACACTTTGATTTTGTTCCCACAAATTTTCTACAATATTATCTCACTTTCATAGGGAAAGAAAGGCGCAAGGAAGTTAGCTGGGTAGTCTGTGGTCAAAAATGGCCTTGGATGAGCTGGTGTCAAAACTCAAGTTCTCTTTAATCCAGTGAGAGCATTATTCCTCACAAAACAACCATCCTGAAAGAGAAAGGTACAGTGTCTCAAAGAACCTGTGGTCTCTAAAGCAGTCCCAGATGTTCTCAGAGATTCATCCTTCATCTCTCCAAGATAAGGATGCCGCAGTTCCTTCCTGCTTTTATTCTGGAAGTATTTAAAAGTGCAGACGTGACTCCCAAGGACATTTTTAGTGGTGGGGCTGCCAGTGGTGAGTTTATGGTTAGACTCAGTGGTCTCAATGGTCTTTTCCAACACAAATGATCCCAAATTCTTGGTGACAGAAAGTCATCACCACAGGCAAAGCCATGGCTGGTGTGTTCTGAAGCAGGAAATGTGCAGCAGGCTCTCCACACCTAATCTGGCTTTTAGAGCCCTTGATTTGTGTCACCCAACTCTGCACCTCAAGTAAGCAATGAGTTGCTATCCCCTGAGCTAAATGGAGAYAGTAACTTGCTAAGATGAGTCTCAGCTGAGATTTGTTGCTCCCTCCCCGTGCTTCCTGCTTGGCAGTGACGGGAACAACAAGCATCCTTYGGGATATCTGACATCAAACCTAAAACTCACAATCTGCTTCCTGAAGAAATAACTGTGTTGAGTTCTCAGCTTCCCAGATGATATGTCAAGTATGTTCCCTGCCTTCTGAAGTTGTCAAAGGATGCAGACAAACAGACTTGTCTCCTTTAATGCTGATATTCTCACATTAAGAGAAGACCGTAAGGAAGTTTTATTACTTGGGAGGTGGTTGAACAGACGTGGTGGCTGGAAAAGTGGCCAGAAACCCTGGCTGGGGGCTGGCACTGCCCTGGCAAAGCTGCTAAGCATTTTAATTCCTCTCCAATGAACTTCACTAAGAGTTTTCTTAGGAGAAAAGCTCTTACACAATTTGTTGGTTCAGAGGTGCTCTCATCCATGCCCAAGTTGCCTTCTGGACCTGCCATTCCAAACCCTTTATTAGCAGCACCGTGAAGCACCCGATATTTATTCCCCTACAAAACAATTGACTAACCGTATCCACTTTGTCGCTYACCACGATTCTTGAAATGAAATCACTTCTTTTACACTTCAGCAGCCTGTGAAACTTGACAATCAATCATCCTAAAGTGCCAACAGCCACATCCTATGACATATATGGATCTGTAGGAAGCATAGCTTGGAGCCTTTCTAATTTTAGCTCATTTCAGGATACGAGAAGCTTCAAGCATCAATCATCCAAGGAAAACACTTTACATACCAAAGTGTCACCAAAAAAAAAAAAATGAACAGCCTGATGGTTTGTGTGTAACTGGGGTATACTGGAAGGATTTTGCATCCATGGATTCCTGAAATGCTGTGTGCTGGGAGCTCTGGGTTAACCAGCTGCAGTTTCCTTCTCCCAGTAACATAGGAACTATATAAAAATGCAGACAGAATTCTTCCAAGTGCATTTAAGTCAATAGCTCACAAATTTGTGCTCCTCATTTTCGTTCAGCTGTAGTTCAGAAAAGACTTAATTCTTTGCCCAGTTGCACTAAATTACTGCAGAAAGTATTAAGCTTATGTAAGCAGAATTAATGTTGTTGCTAAAATCACCGAGCAGAGCCGGCCCTGGGTTATCCGTGCCATACTCACAGCCTCCTTTGCTCCTGGCAGGAAGGATGATCCATCAGCTGATCCCAAGGAACGCCTGTGCTGGCTGTGGGATCTTCCCCTATCCCGTCCRCTGTTTCACCTCAGTCACCAGCTGAAGACCAGGGCAGTGTGTCCCTCCCACGTGGGAGGCTTAGCATTCCTCACATTCCCTCCCAGCCTTCCCAGATTAGACCTTCTCCAGAAGATCGCTGCTGTGTTTCTGCCTTAACAGGAATATGCCAAGTGTGGTGGGTTTTGTTTCAAGCYCAAAGCCTGATGTCCTGAGCACACTCAGGATTTTTGTTCCGGGAGAAAAAGTGGAGCTCGTGGTTCATCAGCCACAGGAAGCTCAGGCAGCTGGGAATACATCAARGCACAACACACATTGAATTTACCATGCTTACAGGGTTATTAACAGTTCTGTGTTCATATTGTCCACCATACTCCCCAAAGTCAAGCTTTCTGCTCAAAACCCCTGCAGCAGTGACTGGTGTTCTGATTTGGTTGCTGGTGAGAGGTGGAAAATTTTACCCAGGAAAAGGAATCACCTGATGGAACATTAGAAATGGTAAAGTCAGTGGCTCACCTAACCTGGGACTCAGGGTCTCAAAGTGGAAATGGGCAAAGCTATTTATTGTGCTGGATTCAATTCCTTCTGCTCCCAGCTCCCAGCACCTGATTCCTTGGATTGGGGACATTGTGGACACATCCCAGGCTGTAGCACCCATTTAGGAGCCCCCTGTTCCTAAAACTGCCCKATCCCTTCCTGGACCTGTTGACATTCTCAGCTTCCACAGCGTCCTGTGATGACAATTCCAAGATTTCCTGACTCACTGTATAAAACCAAACATTTTCTTTTCTCTTTCAAGCTGATCTACTGATTTCATCGTGTCKACTAATTTTCATCACGGTGTTGCAGGATTTTCTGACTCACTGTTGTGCATTCATCTTTATGATTTTTTTGTAGCTGCCTTGGCTTCCTCTCCAAATTGAGGAGTCTTTTCAGTCTCCTCATGGAGCAGCTGTTTCATCCTCTCCAGCTGCTGTTTTCTCCATATTTCTCACATCCCTGAGACCAGACTGTTCAAGATGCCAACACAGCCAGGGTTTACATGGCAGCAAAGCCCTGTCATCCTGCTGACAGTGCATTTCCCTGGGTCTTGGCCACTGCTGCACCTTGAGCTGATGATTTTGGAAGGAYGTGGAGCTGCTGGAGAGAGCCCAGAGGAGGCAGCAGGATGGTCAGAGGGATGGAGCAGCTGTGCTGGGAGGAAAGGCTGGGAGAGCTGGGATTGTTCAGCCTGGACAGGAGAAGCTTTGGGCTGAGCTCAKTGTGGCCTTGCAGGGCCTGAAGGAGCCTAAAGATAGAGAGAGACAATTTCCAAGGGCTGCAGGGACAGGACAGGGGAAAATGGCTTCAAACTGATACAAAGAGTAAGTTTAGATGGGATATTGGGAAGAAATTCTTTATGGKGAGATGCCCTGGTACAGACTACCCAGAGRAGCTGTGGCTGCCCCTGGATCCCYGGCAGTGTCCAAGACTGGATGGAGCTCTGAGCAACCTGGAATAGTGGAAATGGGATGATTTATGGTCTCTTCAACCCAAACCATTCTGTGATTCTGTGGTTCCATGTCTTTGTGCAGCCCACAGCTGTAACAACGCAGAAAACATCTGCACACAGAGTTAAATAGATAAAGAACAGATACAACAGAAAACACATTTATTTCAACTGCTGCACAATGGGAATCTCAATCATTTTCAAATGCCAGCTGAGGGAGAAGTGACTCACATGGCTGGTGTACAGGAAGCCTCTTAGCAGTTTTCAGCACTGAATTCTTTTCCTCTGAGATGTCACTGGTGTGAGTGCAGTTGGCTGCTGAGGGGTAGCAACATGCTTGGTTTAGACATGGACAGAGACATGGTTCCTGCCCTGGRGAGCTCACAGTCTAAAGGGGACATGGACAAAACTACCCCAACACGTAACAATTGACTGAAATATCATCTGTCAGACATAACATCCATTTTAACAGGCAATTGGAATAACAAATATATATATAAAGGCTACAGGTAGGACAGAGTGGTGTCTGTGTTCTGTTTATGTTTGTATGTTCAGAAGTCTACAGGCACAAAAGGTAGTGGTGCTTTGCTTGGGAGAGGGATTTTCTTTTCTTTGGTGGGATGGCTCCAGCTTCCTGAACAAAAATGAGGAAAATCAGATTAGAGCTCATTAGGTCTCCTGTGATGTTACATATCTGAACACTGGACAATGTTGTGATGAATTAATTCCCATGCAACAGAGGAACCCAGATTTGGGAGAGCAGCATGAAAAAAGTGATGGATTTCCTGTCCTGGTGAGATGCTGGGAGATCCCATTAGCATCTGGTTGATGAAAACAACTACCTCGGAGTCTGAATCAGCTGGAATTTGATCCAGGACAGGTTGGACGGGGCTTGRARCAACCTGGGATAGTGSGGGGTGTCCCTGTCCAYRGCAGSGGGGRTGGAATGGGGTGAGYTTCAAGGTCCTTTCCAATCAAAACCATTCCGTGATCCTATGGATTCTGCTACTCCTAGAAAGACCATTTTGCACTTTGTGATCAGGAGGAAATCCCGCCACCCAAAGGAGGATCTGCTGGAAATTCCMACTGTCTTGGAGGTTACAGTTTCTTCCTAGTAAGGGATTGTCTGATCTGTATTTCAGTGCAGGGCAGAGGAAAGAGAAAACCTRAACACTGAACTTAGAAAGCCCATGCTGACAGACATTGACCAGTGCTGGATGCTCACACACCTACACAGGCATAAATTGTGTGGACAAAACAGATGCTTCCTGTTTTGAGGTTTTAAATTTGGCCAATTTACAGTAATTTTTTACTGAGTCATATTTCTTCTCAGGCTTCTCTCCTTTACAAGTTTTTTGGTTGGTTTTTTTTTTGTTTGTTTGTTTTTAATTTTCAACAAAATTTGAGAGACGGATTCATATGAAACACGGAGATCCTAAAAGCTGCAGTGGAATCAGTAGCTGAGTAAGAGAAGAGAGGGATAAATTCTTATTCCACATGAAAGAGGAGCTGCAATGTGTCTAACAGTAAAATGGACATTTGACTCAGGTACTTTGTGATTGGGCACTTGACCCCTCCACAACAATAATTTAAAAAGTTGCAAGTTTATGTTATTTTGAAAGTATTTAAAAACTCTGCTTGATATCTGAATAGTTACCTGAAAACCTGTTCAAGAAATATCGTGTCATAGGGAACTGTACTAAGATTCTTCCTGCTCCTCCACTTCTTCCTTTTCTTCTCCCTCTTCCTGCTTTTCTTCTTCCTCTTCCTGCTTTTCTTCTTCCTCTTCCTTTATTTGCAGAAAATAGTTGTATTTACCATATAGGAATTGAAAGAAAAATTAACAGTCTTAAATGCAGAGTTCCTTTTGCAAATATTCTATTTCTAGGAAATGCAATATTCTTTGAGATTAAAAAATATAATTAATGTAAAGTTTTTTATCTCAACATGCCAGGGCTTTAGTTTGTGGAGTTAATGGGCAAGTTTTGGAATATAAACATATATATATTTTTTAGGGTAGTTAGAACACATGGTTTAGCTGCAAATAGATGTTCAAGAACAAAATGAGAATATGAAATATGTGTAAATATGACAAAAAATTAGTATTTTAAATTATATACTTTCTTGGAGCAGTAAACAAGTAAAGATTCATGGCACAGGAAACAGACTTCTGAGTTACCAAAAAATCATCTGGAATCAGATAATGCAGCCTTGTTTCTATTTCAAAGGTTCTTCTTTCCCTCTTTTGCGCAGAAGAAATGACACAATTCAAACAAGACAGCCCTTTGCTTCAATCAACAGTTATCTGAAAGCTGGAATTTGTGTAACACAGACAACAATCTCTGTTAACTGTCTTTCTASACTAAATGAAGCTCTACTCTGAAAAACAACTGGAAATTGCTTTGTAGGCTCCTCTGCTCCCCCTTCTAGCRATCTCTTGTCCAGAGGCACTCCCATGTGTATAAATCAGCTTTATTTCCATTTGCCATCCCTTCACAGACTGCTTAGACTGCAAAAGGGATGTGAATTTCTTCCTGGTATAATCAAATAACCAATCAAAGAATCCCTAATTAACTCTCAGCGAGGACTGCAGGTCATGTATGAGCAGCACAGACTCTTACTTTTCCTCTCAGACCCCTCCCATCTGGGCAGGAGTCACACCTGAGTTGCTGAAGTAAAATCCTGCTTAAATATCTGCTTGGGAAGGGAGCTATTGGAATCAGAGTCCTGGCTTCTATGATTTTTTTCAGGTAAAAACATTGCACTAAAGAATCACTCCTGCAAAACCAGAAAGGGAATGCAAATATCTGTAGATGAGAAGTTCTTATGCCAAAGGAATTGCCTCTCTGGGCATTTTTGCCCCCAGGAAAGGTGCCTTTCTTTCTCTCATGAGAACTGTTTGAAAGGGCCAGGAGAGCCCACTGACAAACCACATCTTTCAGGTATTACCAACTGCCACTCAAAATTCAAACCAATTAAGCTTTACAGAAAAACAAAAAAAAAAAAAAACAAAAAAAAAAAGAGATTTTTCTTGCTTGATGCAATAGTTGGTGGTGCCAGGTTGGAACTAGCCAGGTTTGATGGCTCTCACCAAATGGGTCCAGCAGCTTTAGGGTCTGGAAAAGCTATCCTGGGAACAGCAGCTGAGGGAGCTGGGAAAGGGGCTGAGGGAGCTGGGAAAGGGGCTGAGCCTGGAGCAAAGGAGGCTCCGGGGGGACCTTGTGGCTCTGCACAACTCCCTGACAGGAGGGGACAGCCGGAGGGGTCAGGCTCTGCTGCCGTGTCCCAAGGGAAAGGAGGAGAGGAAATGGCCTCAAATTGCACCAGGGGAGGCTCAGGGTGGAGACTGGCAAAGAAAATTCCCTGTCAGAGTGGTCAGGCCTTGGAATGAGCTGCCCAGGGAGGGGGTGCAGTCCCTGTCTCTGGGAGTSCTCAGGAGGAGTCTGGATGTGGCCCTTGGGGACAGGCTTTGGGGTGATGCTGCTGGGGCTGGGGTGGCACTGGATGGTTCTGAAGATCTGGGCAAAACAGAAAAATGTTTGAGGATTTTCTCCTGGGTCATACAAATTCTGGCAAGGAAAATATCTCCTATATGGGCAGAATTGCCTGAATTGTCAGAACAAATCCTTCACACTCACAACATTGAAAATGCAATCACAGCATGGTGTGAATATCCAAGTGATTATCCAAGAGTGACTTGTCTTGGGAGTCCTTGGCAAATTTTATTGAAGGATATGTGAAAGACAATTTCTCTTCCATTTACAGTTTTTAATGATTAAARGCCCCTCTTTGTTCCCAGTCAATAACACACGATACGACCATCATTAACTCTACAGAATATGACTGTGGTGTATTTACTTCCATGAATAAGAATTTATTGGCTTTTGAGTGAAGCAAAGGGACTGAAAAGGAATTAAATGCACACAAACAAAAGATGATAATAAAATATCCAGGTATACTATACCCCTGTTGCTGCATGCTCTTCTTTGCCTTCCTACATATGAAAAGATAAATCAGAGGAAGAATATCAGAAATCAGTCAGACAAGAAAAACCCAGCAGAAGTTAAACATTGAATTTAGGAAAATTATGTGGAATTCACTGGATTCATTTGGAGAWAATGTCCTGTAAATTAGCTCATAAAGCACATTCAAGCTGAACTTTTATGTTGGAAAAGGACTATAAAATCATTACATTGAGCTTCCTTTTTCTCAGTTACTTCCAATCAAATCTGCTTCATTCTCAAGCAAAGCTTTGGAGCTGGGTTTTGTTTGCTTGCTCAGGTGGAGTTTTTGTGGGTTTTAAATGAAAGTTAAATCAGAATGATASAGAGTCTTATCTGTGCTGTATATCATCACTCAGAATCTGGCTTGTGATTCTGTTAAGTGTTGCAGGCTGGAACAGATGCCTTGCCTCAACAGGGAATAAAAAATAATACAAGTTGGTTTGAGACTGTAGATTGAGCAGAAGTGATGAGAGAGAGAAAAAAATATATAAATGTAAAAAGTGAATAGAATTTAATGTTAGATCCTAAGCTGGCTATTGGGGGAAAGAGCTGATCCTACACAAAATCCCATAGAGAAGAGGCAAATGTCACAGTGCCACGCAGCAGGCAGAGGGGTTGATATGGTTTTGGATGGARTAAGTTGAGTTAAGGGAATGAGTTGCAGTGACAGGGTTTAAATATGGCCAGGGGAATTGCTGAGACAGGATACAGACTAGCATTATAATATGATTTTTTAACATGTGTCTAAAATAATTTTGCCCTGAAGGGAGCATAATCTGTACTGAAAACTGATTTAACTGGGACAGCACTTAAAAARCATTCTAACCTCCAAGCTAAAATCTGAAGTCCAAAATCAGATAGCAAAAATGCAGAAAATTTATTAGCAGCACATGTGTGACCAGCAGGGTCCAYGTCATGTGTGCTGGAAATCAAAGAGACTCAAAGGGACAGACAAAGCAAGAAGGAGAGCACAGAAAGGGGAGGCACCCCATCCATGGGCTCCTCATGGTCCTATTTTGAGACAAAAATCTGGAGTTTCTGGACTCCTGCACCTCCCAGGAAGGGCAGCAGAAGGGCAGGAAGGAGCTGCTGCATTGACCATCCCCTGCCAYTCCTGCCAGAACCTGGAGGAGCCTCCTGAGAGCTGGGACCTTCCCTGCAGCCCCGGGATTGAGGCAGCCACAGTTTGTTCTGGTGCCTGTCCTGTGCTCCCTGGCAAAGGCTGAGGTAACTTTACCTCACCAAGACTCTTCCAGAATTTTTCCATAGTGCTAGCATTTCTCCTGCAAAGTCATTGGAGAAAAGCTGGCTTGGTTACACCCTRCAAATGGGAATCATTTCTGAGATGGTTTGAAGCAGTACTAAATAAGCTCAAAATCTCAATACTAAATTCTCATTGGCATATTAATTCAGCCACAAAACATAAAACTGTCATCTTCCCATTTTTGTGTTGGCAATATCTGAATCTTTTAGGATTTAACATCCAGTGGAGGTACTCATATGGCAATCTGGCAATCTTTAAGTGTATTTACCTTCATAAACCCTTCACAGGTAAGGAAACGATATTTTAACTTCCTTTTGTAAGAATAAAATGAGACATAGRTAAAAAAGTTAGAATTCATCTTGCTGTAGCTGCCTCAGAGCTGCTCTTCTGATCTAACCCTGTCCTCTGTGTGCTGCCTGTGGTGAAGGAGAGGAGCAGAATTCCTGCAGAGTGATTCATGCCATCCCAAAAGAAGTGATAATTGGGATGAACCATAGCAAGGCGGGCAGATGCCACGGCACTGAAGCGATTTGTCCCGGGTGACACAGGAAGTGGGTGGCATAACAGGGCAAAGAAACRTTTTCCGTGCTCTCTCCTGTGCTTCTCCCCTCCCTGAAAAAACTGAAGAAGAATCCATTTTCCACTTTTAGCTCTGATCCTTTCTGTGAGAAGTGGAGCGAGGTGCTGGTTGTATAGGAGTGGTAGTGCATGATGTCACTGCAGAACCTCTCCTACACAGCTGCTTGACACATTTGCAGATGTGTTTCAGCATTCTGCTCTCATTTGAAAATCRTTAAAGCAGAATGCCAGCCAGAAGGGCAAGGCACCCAGGCCAGCAGTTTTGGCTCCTCTTACAAGGCAAAGGAAAAAGGAATTTGACGGCACTCACCTGCCAACTGAAATTCAGAGCAACAGGAAAAGTGCTTGGATATCACTTTCCTTAAGGAGGAATTCAGTTCCCACTGAGGGCTGTCTCTTCTCATCACTGTTTTGAAATTATTAATGGGATTTTCCAGTGGCTGAGATTTGCATGAAGTTGTGTGAAAGGGGCTTTTCCAGCCTAACAGTGACTGGATCAGTCACTATTAAAAAGGGCAGTGGGGAAAGGCTTACAGAGAGTTATTTCGATGTTTCCTCTGGAGAAACATTGCAGCTAGATGGAAAAAAAAACCCCCAAACTCCATTTGTTTTGATCTTTAATGAAAGAGATGATGCATTTGTGACAGATATTCCCCAGGGACCATCTGATCTCCAAACCAYAGAAGAGCCTGACAAGTGTGAGTGCTTGATGCAGCAGCAGCCCTGACTCCTTGGGCAGAGCCACCCGACACTGCAGCATCCAAATAAACCCATCCTTAAATGCCAAACTGAGCTGCAGTTTGAGATGTGGAACACAGAGCAGGGGCAGACAGAAAGGAAAACACTGGCCTATAGTGTACAGAAAACCAGGGGACTCTGTAAGGCCTGGAGAAGGCACWGTCAGATCTGCAGCAAACATTAACAACCAGATTTACAAGCGCTGCCCACTCTGGCCATTGAGAGCAGCAATTTCTTTTTCACACAGGCAGGACTCAGATGTCTAGTCCTAAATTATTCTCCATAACTAGACTCTGGTTCCAAATGACCATCAAGATGAAATAAAAAGCTCCTGGTAACAAGTGGCAAAAGGCAGCTGCTGTTATATGAGAGCAAAATTCCCTGGAGTTTTATCTAGGTTTCACATCCTCCTGATATGAAAGAAAATACATCCAAAAGACAAACAGCACCACTCTGCACTCAGTCAGAGGGGCACACTAGGAGGGTCTGTGGGTTTGTGTTTCATGTGCTTAGCACAGGTAAAACACTCAGATCACAAAGAGAAAGGAAAAATTACCTGTTGATCTTCTGATGGTGTCTGATCAGACTGAGCCTCTTCAGGAGCCCCTTCACCTGCCTTGTCTTCTGTGTGTGCCTCAGTTTCATCTGTGGCATCAGATTTTTCATCCTTGGAATCAGACTTCTCTTCTGTGGCATCTGATTTTTCCTCTGTGGCATCAGACTTCACTTCAGTAGCATCAGACTTCTCTTCAGTAGCATCAGACTTTTCCCTCTCCTGGCAGCAAAGGAGAGGTCACAGTAAGCTTCAGGGTATATAATCAACAATTCATTTCTAAAAAATCCTTGAGTTTCTTGCTTTGGGAGGTGATTTTTCAAATTTTGCTTTAGCACTTAAATGAAAATACCCCCTTTTAGGGGGTATTTCTCCTGTGAAAGGAACACTCACTGGCATGTTGGTCTGATGGGGTTTATGTGGGGAAAACATGAATTCAAGCCCTGGTCAGCATGGCASATTCTCTAACCCTCCTGTGGAAAGTTTAAAAGAAACCAATGTTCACCCTGATGGCACACTGGAGCTTCAGGGGGAAAAAAAAAGCTTGAATTCCAATTAAACATCATTCAGAAGTAACAGGAAAACAGAAGTAATGAAGGATTTCACATTTAGCCTCTTAATTTTCTTGCTTAAAAACATCAGGAAACTCTTCCCACATCAGTCAATCAAGCCTATCTATTCCAGCACCATGACCAAGCACCTCCTGGGAGGTTCTTTCTTTGAAGTCCTGGTGTCCTTTCAGCCAGGTGGCTGTGAAAGGTCACAGCAGCTCCCACATTGTGTCAGATAAAAGGAGGCCTTGGGTGGAACAGCAGAAATAGGATGAAATGCAGGAGCATTAACTGCAAAGTCATCTCATTTGGGACAAGCAGTTCTGGGTCAGAGATTCAAAACTGATTTTTTAGTTCACTTTGGGAGCTTGCTAGTAATGATCATCAAGGAAGACAAGGATGGATGTATTTAAACAAGCTTGGTATAACTGAGCCATGAATAGGATAAGACAATGAAAGAGGTAATAAAAGTGATCCTCAGATGTATGAGGTGAGGCAAAACCTCGTGTGGATTACTCTGTACCATCCCAGTCACTCAGACTCAAGAAAGAGAAACCCAGACTGGAACAGGTGCAGGGGGGGGGACAGGAACATCTGAGGGAGTCTTACGAAAGGGTGACAAAAAAAGCTGCATTACTTTAATCTATTGGAAGTGATGCTGTGAGGGGATATGATGGCACTCTCAAAATAGAGCAGAGTAAACAGCAGACTGGGATAGGATAAGGAAGAGTGCTGAGGTRGAGAGTACAAATTGGCTGTAAAGAAAAATTCTAATTATCATCAGTGGGAGATTTTGGAAGAGATTTGTAGTGGAGAATATGAGGTAAAGGACCTATTTCATTACAAGGRAATTTGACCTGTTCTGAGAGGTGGTATCTGGTGTGGTTTCCTCTGGAAACAGAGAATTGGACTCAGGGCAGGTCCTGTCCTGTGTCATCCTGAGTCATCCCAYGATTTGGGAAGAGCAGCACATCCCTGAGAGGAGACAAACTCCTTCCCCATGCCTGTGACCAAGCCCTTACAACTCAGTTGTTGGTTTGGGGTTCACTGCTTTTCCATCATTTCATCTGTCTCTACAATTAAACAAAACCCCTCAGTCATATTCCCCTGCCCTTCAAACTTCACAATTCCTCCTTCAGTGCCCCCATGATGATTTCCTAGCCAGTGCACCCATCCTTCAGAATAGGGCATGTCTGGCTGGCTTTTATCCCCTGAGCTGACTGGGTGAGTGCTGTCTTAGGAATCATTGTCCCAAGGTGTGGTGTGGGATATGAGATTTGCCCTCTTGCTGACAGGCTCTGCTGGATGGAGAAAAAAATGATAGAAAGGAGCCTTAGAAATGCTAGGAAGCAGATACCACAGCAGTTTGATCTTTTCTCTGAAACTTGACTGCCTGTAAGAGCTGGTGCTCTTTTGGTAATTTTCTCCTGAATCATGGAAAATCAGTTTTACACCTAAAAAAATTGCAATGAAAAGAGAGTGGGCACAAAGGTCCCTAAGATCTCCTTCCTCTGAAACTGAAGCAGGAGCTGGTCGAGATWAAAGCTTCAAAAAGCAAAACATTTYTACCTCACACCAGTTTCACACTTACACAGCTGCATGAATGTTTCTGCCAGCACGTGGGGGATGCTGGGTGAGAGGAATGAGCAGCTGGGAGTGAGCAGAAGGAGCCAGAGGGAGGAGGAGGGAGAACAGACAATTTCTGGCAATATTCGTCTCATTTCAAGTATACATAAAACTGTGGGTGCACTGCACTCTGACGCTGGTGGCATTGTTATCAAAAACAGATCTACAGAGACATTTGTCTGGCTTTTCCCCCAAAAGCTAACAAAATATTTGAAGATTAAAATATGTAGTCCCACAAATATACATTGAAAATCCCTCGTGCAACATTGTGTTAATACATTATTTTTTTAAGGAAATTAAAACTTCTTAGAAGTATTTTCTTTGCAGAAGTTCCTTAAATGAAAAGGAGGGTGTTAATGAAAACTAAATTCATAGAATCATGGAATAGTTTRGGTTGGAAGGGACCTTAAAGATCATCCAGTTCCAACATCCCTGGGCRGGGACACCTTCCACTAGACCAGGTTGCTCAAAGCCTCATCCAACCTAGTCTTGAAATTGGKGAAATATTTATTTCAGCACAAATATATACATTTCATTTTAAAATGCATGCATCACTATTTTTGGTTGATACATAAAATGCATGAGGACCAAATAGAATCCTAATTAAAATGACCCCATCGTGTACATCCATCTCAGATGAATCATAGATTTAGATCATAAGAGAAAAAAAAAGAGTTGTAGAAGCATCATGTTATCAGCCAGAACACACACACACACAGTTCTTGTTAATTATATGGAGAACTCTGATGTTGGGAATATCATCGTCGTGCTGGCTCTCCATAGAAACACAGAATTTAATTTTCAACTAATTCAAAATGAAGCACCGTTTCTAAAGAYGGGCTGACAGGTCATTTTCTCTGTAAATTTGTAATTTAAATCAGTCTTAGGAGAAACCTTCTTCCACTAACTTCAGCTCAAGTATCTACAAATTTGGGGATATCAAGATCATGGATATTAAGACCAAGAACAGTGGGATTAAGGCTTCAGGTGTGCACAATATTTGAAAACATCCTCAGCTCAATGAGTCACTGAGTTCACTGAGTCTCAGACTAAGCATAAAAGTGGTGCCAGCTTTAAAAAGAAATGTACCCAACTTCTGAGGCAGCTGAGACTGACACATCTGACCCCAAATATACAAACTACACTGATTACAGCTGAAATATACACATGAATCCTGCTGGAACATCACTTTACAGACCACCAATTCAAGATTAAACRGGATCTTTCAGAAATCTATCACTAATTTGAGTCATCTCTGGGTCAGGCTTAAGGCACAGCTGCCCTAAAATCCCAGCCTGCCCTGAACCATGTTTAGAATAAATCTAGATCAGGGTTATTCATTCAGCTGAGAAGGTATTTGGCATTAATAGATTAAAATACTTATTAATGTAAGCACTGTCTGCTGCTTCTCTCAGGCATAGAAAACTGTTCTGTTCAGCCTTTGCTGACGCATCACAGCTATGGACTTCCGATTTCCTGTAAAGTCATCACTTAGTTTTATGGGCACATTGAACTCTTCAAGGCAATAGATAAACTTGGTGTGGTAAAATCACAGAATCACAGAATGGTTTGAGTTGAAAGAGACTATAAAGATCATCCAGTTCACAGTCTCTGTCATGGCAGGGGCACCTTCCACCATCCCAGGCTGCTCCAAACCCCATCCAGCCTGACCTTGGGCACTCAAAGGGATCCAGGGGCAGCCACAGCTTCTCTGGGCACCCTGTGCCAGGGCCTGCCCACCCTCCCAGGGAACAATTCCTTTCTAATATCTAATCTGAGTTTCCTCCCTTTCAGTTTAAAGTCATTGTCCCTTGTCTTGTCCCTGCAGCCCTTGCAAATTGTCTCTCTCCATGGTTCCTGTGGGCTCCTTCAGGCCCTGCAAGGCCACACTGAGCTCAGCCCAAAGCTTCTCCTGTCCAGGCTGAACAATCCCAGCTCTCCCAGCCTTTCCTCCCAGCACAGCTGCTCCATCCCTCTGACCATCCTGCTGCCTCCTCTGGGCTCTCTCCAGCAGCTCCACGTCCTTCCTGTGCTGGAACCCCAGAGCTGGATGCAGCACTCTAACATATAGAATATATTGATATATAGAAACAACAGAACCAGAGAACGTGAACTGAATGTGTATTTTGCACTCAGCAATGACAATGAATTGGCAATGAATTTAACTATAAATATTATGTTTGGAAGTTATGATTTTTTGAGARATCCCCAAAAAGTTCATCTGCTTCCTCAAGGGAATTGTCTCAAAAAAATCCTGGGTCAGCATCCTGTTGGACTGTGCTGTGAAACAGCATCATGATCATTAAAGAGCTTCTCTACTCCTGGTGCAGTATGAGACAAAGGATGGATGGAAAAAGAAATAGAACGTTTTAAGACAAGAGTATCAACCATGTATCAGCTTCATATTAATCTTCGTGATGTCTCAGCCTGGTAAAAATCACTAGAAAGCAAATACTCACTGCCTTGTGGTGATTCCATGCTTTATAGTTTGCTTCTTCATTCCAGAAAAAGAAAGAAAAAAAACCCAACAAAACCCACACAATCTTTTAAGAAAGGATTAATAGGAAATCTTGTCATATGTGTCATCGTCATCATCTCTTCCGCACCTGATTTATAATTGCAGATTTATGCTGCTGGAAATCAGTGTCACGAGCCATCCATTGTGCTTATCTAAGGTCGAGTTGGCAGAGAATGAGGGGGAAGCAGAAGCAGAGCAGCAGAGTTCTTTGTKTGACAAAGCACAGGCAGCCTCTCCTGCAGTGGAGATGCTGACAAACATCTCTGCAAGAAGTGTGTATGTATCTCTCRAATAGGAATAGATTTTGAAARGRAGACTATAAAAATGTATAAAAGTTCCACTTTTTACATGGACCTTACGAACACTCTCACTTATTTGCACTCTCTGGACTGAAACCACCACCAGGGTAGCAGTTAATCACTGTAAACAAGACTTGTYTGCTACCAGTGGCACTGACAAACAATTCTACCCAGCAAAATGGACCAAACGTATTATTTTCCACATTTCCAAGGTTGTCACAAAGTAGAGACTGTAATAGCTTCAGCTGACAGCTGGCAACAAGTGAATTCTAAAAAATTATTATTTTGCTTCATAGATATGGCATCTACCAGGACCTTGCATGAAGGAGCAGATAATCTTCGGAGTGAGAAAGTGGAAAAATGCAATTTTCTTTATCTCAATGATTCTCCACATTTCTTTTATAATGACTATAATACGTAATACCTGCAGACCTTTAAGCCTTTCGTGGCTTTGTGGATGTTAATTAAATGAATTCTCACAAGACCCTTGTGAGGCAGGCAAGCAATTTTTATTTCCCTGGGTGGGAGATKGCACAGCTAAAGCAGAAAGTTTAAATCACTCTCCTTATCACACAGGGACTCAGTGTCAAAGACATTTATAACAACTGGGGCTCTCCCCTGGGTGTCTTTTCAGCTGTGGCTCTCAAAGTACTTGGCAAAGGCTCCTTTTTTCCCTCTGCTTTAACAGAAGAGGATAAAGAAAGACATTTACAATGGTGTTTCACTCAAAGTTGCTGCAGAGTTGGACCAAAGGCAGATCTCCTGCTGCAAGGCAGCTCCTCAGCCAGGTCACCACAATGCAGCAGAATTCTCCTGTCACTCTGGCTCATCACTCTYTTGATTAATTTCTTTTGTTGGCTCACCCACGTTAAAGATGGCAACTTTATTATCATCTAAAATGATCTCAGGGTAGCAGAGCTGGAATGCTCTCGGTTGTAAAACTTCTAATTACAAGATTCTAATAAAGAAAATGCACATTGATTTCTGTAAAAACAACCCAAAATGAAAACAGGAACAAAACCCCCAAAATAACATGTTTTTTTTGCCAGAAATATATCAGAACATTGTCAAAATATGATGGAGAACCATGGGCAGACTTGCCAAAGGGACTTGGTGAAGTGCTGGGTGAGCCTTTTTCTCCTCCAGGCAGAGAGAGTGAGCTCCGTGGTGCCAGTGTGGTGGTGCACATGATGGATGGGATGGGTCTGACCCCAAGCCCACTGTTGGGGGCCAGGACAATCCCTGTTTGATGCAGTCAGGGGCAAGAGAAAGCTTCTTGTAACTAACACAACCCAGAAATCGTGTTAGGGAATCTGCATCATTTAAAAGCTGAACATAATGAAATACTGCTTTGTGTCAACAACAACAACAAAACCATCAGCTGGAGCCATGGTAACAAGCCTGCAGTGAAAGAAGGGAAGAAAGAAGTATTTTCTCGTATTTACCTGAACCAGCCACTTCCCCTCTCCCCCCCCAAGAACACTTTGCTGCCTCTTGTGTGACATGCTGAGTCACTGCCTATGTTCATCTTTTATTAAAATCAAATAAATGATCCCCATGGAAGGACAGAAGTGCATACCTTTGTGCCCGGAGGAGGAGCAAGGCCCAGGAATGAATAAATAATATTTTCTTCCTTAGCAGAGAAAAAAGATTCAAAATCCTAAAAAAGGAACAAACAAACAACAGAGAATTGGTATCAAAAATCAATTTAAAAGCACAGGAGGAAGAGACCAGCCCAGCAAATTCTACATTGATGAGAATGACCATGCATTTGTACAACTGGYAGCATTATCTAAGCCCCAGGAAGAAAACACAGATAAAGGGAGTTTCACACAGGGTGGCAAAATGAATAAATGAGCAAAACTCTCCAGAGACTTACACTTTAATTATATCACATGTGTGTCAGAATCAGATAAAATTGTCTYATTTGAACATGCCTCAGCTGTACACTACAAGGCAAAGCTATTCCCACTCACACGTTAAAATAAAACTTGCTGTGAGTAAAGACACAAAATAGGCCCTCAAAACACTGGATAACTTCATGGCAAATAAAATACAATAGTCAACATTACAGCACAAGTGAAACGACAAGCAGGAAACTTTATTTTAACGAAAGGCACTCTGGTCAGAAAATGATGTTTTCAGACCAACTTAGGAAAGGGCTGCACTGTACTCTTGATATCCATGTACCAACAAAAATGTCTAGTCAACACATGAATCTAAGTTGTAAATTATCAAGTTAAATGCCTGTTTTCAGTGGGAATGGAACAGAGAAGATGAAGGATGCCTCCTAGTCTGCCATATAGAGTTTGCATGCTCTCTACTGCTTTCACCTGGACAACACTCCTATCTATGACTATTTTTCTTCCTGGGAAGTTCATGGCTCACATCTTACAAAGGTAAAAATCAACAAGTGTTTCAGATGTCAGCAGAAACTCCAGTCATAAGTGACTGGTCCAAAATCCCACACAGCTCTGAGACAGGTGACTGAACACRTCTGCTGAGTCCTAGACTACTGCCTTTAACATGTTATCATCCTTCCTCTAATCCCAGACAACTCCAAGAATAGAAGCCTGTAAATAATAAGGTGCTGAATCATCCTTGAAGCTTGTTTGTAAAGCTGGGTTAGGACTTGAGCTGTTTTATTGAACTAGTAATTTATTTTAGTATTTTCAGAGAAGAAATTATTGGAAAGACTGGAGTGGATGGTTTAGAAGTCACCCTAATGTCAACAAGAGTGGAATCGATGACATTTCAGTGCAGTTTGGAAGAGCTTTACAGGCATGACAGATGACAGCCCATTTCACTGATTTATCTGAGGGACAGATTGGCTTTCACACAGTCACACCCAGCRGGAGCTGCCCCATCTGGGAAAAGCCCTGGAGCACATTTTGCTGCTGCTCCAACCCACCCATTTCTCAAAYCATCTCTCTGCTGTTTTCCCACTACTGTGGGATTCTCCTTCTCATCTATCCCAGGCAGTGTCTGCATCTGACCCATGAATTTAGGAGCAATGCAGCAAACAAAAAAATTAGGGTTTTCTCAGTTTGAAGGGCTGGAATTCGATATGGCCATGCAAAAACAGGAACYTTTTGTCCTCCTGCACACCACATACTCATAAACCAGCCTGAGCAAACCATGGCACAACCAGGTAAGAGCTGGGGAACAAAGGGAAGACAATAACAAGGAAATGCCATCAAATGGACTTGGTATTTTATGTCTTTTTGAGGAAAAGGTGAGCATGGCAAGTATACTAAAATCCTTCAGAAACACACAGCCTTGTAGACAAACAGATCTCAGGGCACRAATAAAATGTGTGAATGACCAGAGAGCTCCATATCAGAAGAGGATATAATCTTCTGTAATATCAGGGGCTCTGGACAACAGGGAGTGTGCAATGACATCCCACAGTAAATGGAAGGACGTTTATTTCCTCACACTGATAAAGAAGCTATCATGTATTAAATAAGAGATAAAGGATGACTACAGCGGTCATGGAATAGTTTTTCTGCTGTGTATTTGAACCCATGCTTTACTAATGGTGACTTGTTCACGTCTCCATTTGCTGAATGACTAAAGTTAAGTGTTCCCGAGGCAGGCAGTATGAAAAATGAGCAGGAACAATTTATTTCGGGTAAGCAATAATATTTTACCTGTATGAAAAAACATAAATGGGCTAAGTGGTGCCATTTGTCAAGTGGACACCAGCAGAAAATTCTCCCTGTATTCTCGGTACAGCACCAGGTCAGAGCACGCAGAGAGGGCATGGAAACACTATCCCTTTTGGAGTCTTTTGGAATTCAGATGGCCAAAGCCCCARGCACCATAAGCAAACTTTAAAGCCATCCTGCTTTGAGCAGCAGACTGAATGACAAATCTCCAAAGGTCCCTATATTTGCACATATTTGACTTCAGCAGTTACATAAATGATAGAATCATAAAATGGCCCGAGTTACAAGGAAGCATAAAGCGCATCTCATTCCAGCCTGGGCAGGGACACCTTCCACCATCCCAGGCTGCTCCAAACCCCAATGTCCAGCCTGGCCTTGGACACTGCCAGGGATCCAGGAGCAGCCAAGCTTCTCTGGACACCCTGTGCCAGTGCATCAACACCCTCAGAGCCAAGCACCCTCATCTTCCTAATATCCCATCTAACTTACTCTCTGTCAGTTTGAAGCCATTCCTCCTTGCTCTGTCACTCCTTGCAAATTGTCTCTCTCCATGGTTCCTGTGGGCTCCTTCAGGCCCTGCAAGGCCACAMTGAGCTCAGCCCAAAGCTTCTCCTGTCCAGGCTGAACAATCCCAGCTCTCCCAGCCTTTCCTCCCAGCACAGCTGCTCCATCCCTCTGACCATCCTGCTGCCTCCTCTGGGCTCTCTCCAGCAGCTCCACGTCCTTCCTGTGCTGGGCCCCAGGGCTGGAGCAGCTCTGCAGGTGGGGTCTCACCTGAGCAGTGGGGCACAGGGACAGAATCCCCGCTCAGCTCTGCCCACACTGCTTTTGGAGCAGCCCAGCACAAGGCTGGTGTCTGGGCTGCAAATGCACATTCCAACATCAAATAAAAATCTTACCTAACAAAGATTTTTTTTAAGTATGTACATGGATACTTTATGGATTTCAGTTTACAGGAGACAGCAGATATTTCAGCTTACAAAGAAAAACAGAAGTTTACCTTCCATTTCTTTCCTAGTTTTCTAGGGGTTTTTTTTTTTTTGTTAAGTGAAAGCAAAAACAAGAGCAACAGAGTGCTCAATATATTTAGCAAGTGACACAGATGCAGACGCCTGTCTAGACATGAGCAAAGAAGCAACTTAAGAAAAAGATCAAATAAGGACATAATTGCCAGCACTGATGGATTAGAATGGATACTTGAAATTGGTGCTGAAACCAGGCATACAAAATGAATCCATTTCTAATCTATTTCTTCAAGTGGCAATACCAAAGATCCGAGAGAAAAATAAGATTTGAGCTATTTATAAGACGGTCTTAAGATTCTCTGGCCTCGTGGAAAAGCTGCTCCTGGGCAGTGTATCTTCATTAAAATCCATYCATAAAGAACCTCCATTTAACAGTACGAGCTGAGGAGTGGAGCAGCTCCTCATGGTCACTCAGAAGATGTAGATACTTTTGTCTTTTTTACCAGAAAAGCAGATGAGCTGCAGGTTTGCCTCTGCTTGTTCATKATGTCTTTTTATTCTAGCACCAAAAAGGGAGGCTCCTCACCTGTCCCCACTACCCCCTTTCCTTCCCACCACTACCAAAATTTCACTGAACTGCAGAAGAAGATATTGGACAAGGTCTCAAAGGACCATTTCTCCAAGGCAGGAACCACTTCATTAYTCCTGACAGGTGTTTCTTTGATCCACTGGTAATGACCTTTAATTAGATAATGAGGCAATCTCCTTGAAACTACATCTTCTCTGAGGTCTGACTTACACTTTCTTTGCTGTATTTTTTTTTCTCATACAGCTTCTCCCACCTCCAGTGGATGCAGAGCAGAACACATTTTACAAAATCCTAGATAATTCAGGTGGGAAGAAATACCAGGAGACCACCTAAACCAACCTCCAGCTCAAAGCAGGCTCAAGACTGAATTCAGACCAATAAATTGCTTTTTGCTGCAGCCCTTAAAATAGTTAAAAGTTGTCATGTCTCTCCCCAAATCCCTTTTTCTCAGGTTAAGGAAGGAAATATTTBATCTTGACTTTTTATCTCCCAAGGCCAGAGCTCCCAGGCCATCATGCTGCAATGTGTGAATGGGAAGCAAACATACAGGACAATTGATTAGAAGAGAAATGAGGGAGAAGAGTGAACCCCCAGAAAGTAAAATGGGGCAAATTAAATTACTTGATCTTTTAAAAGGGGGAAAAAATGTAAAGAGCCTGACTTGTTTAGCACAGCAAAATGAAGAATAGAAGCCATGAGTCCCTTTTACAAATACATTGGACTGGAGCTGTTGAAGCTAAAAAGTGATTTGGGCCTAGCAGGTAATGGGTATGAACTGGTTGCATTTAGCCAGGCTACAAACTCAAAGGTTTTTAGGTGCCACAAAGGTGAGGCCCTTAAACAGTCATGAGAGCAAYATATTTTAAAAGGACTTTCATGAATTCAATATACTGGACTGGAGTCACACCCTTGCAATCTTCAGGGATATTTTGGATAAAATGGCTGTGGCCAAAGGAAGTGGGACACATGGGAAGATGTATCAGGTGAATGTGAAAAAAAATTCTGAATTTCTGGATTTGGGCATTTTGTAGCCATCTGCCATCCCTGGCCATGTTCTCAGCCCACGTCACATTCCCTTTGCAGCTCCCTCAAGGCACCTTCCCCTGGGGAGCAGGGTAAGGCTCACACACTGATATGGATCTCATTACCTTATTTATTTGGAAATAATGATGCTATAAATTAGTCTTTGTTATGCACCCACTGGGATCATTAGCTCTGAGCTTTGAGAGCTGGGTACATTAGAATTCTGGAGGCTTTTAGACTAATTGTAAATTTAATTTAGATTTTAAATCAGTAGCTGCAACTCCATTCCCCATKGAAGTATCTCTGCAAAGGACTATTTCTTCACTTTAATTTATTTCAAGATGTAGATTATTTGGCTTCCTGAAATAGCTTCAGACATGGGGTAAAAACTGTGTATTTATCATTTACTGTCAAGAGTGACCAGCTGCAACACTTTAAAAGGCAATTACTCTTTAATTCCTTATATAACCTCTCCAGAGAACATCAGAAATATTTATTGCAACACTGGCTGCCACAAAACCCAGAGTTAGATATATCAAATTATACTTTTTATTGGTGCAGACTGGATGCTGAAATGCATGTGAGCTCCTACACACCAAGAACTCTTTTAAGTATCCTATGAGAAAATGAGGAAGCAGCTGCCCTCMAATATTCATACCAGCAACTTTTGCTCTGAGAGCATGGAAGTTAATTCTGAAAACTCAGTGGCGTGCAAATCCCTTCTCTCCCAGTACAACCTTGCAATAGGTTCACACAGGATTCGTGCAGTAACTTAAAACTGGGCTGACTGTGTGCCCTGTGTTTCAGAGCAACTYGCAGTTTCATTCCAGCCATCAGATCTGAGCACTCCAGACTATTCATTTCCACCCAGACTATGAGAAAAAAAAAGTCTCAGATTATCTTTTTTGATTCACAGTCCTAATATTCAYGCTGGCACATTATTGTCTTTCTCTGCTTTGAACAAACTGTCTCAAGAGAAAGAACCTGTTACAAGCACATATGGAAATATAAAAACATCTGATGAGCACTACGGTTTTTGTTATGAGGAGCTGGTTATGGATTGAATAAGAAATATAATTTCAATAATTCAAACCACATACTAAAATTATCCCAGCAAACAAACATTTGTACTTATTTGTATAATATAATGGAAAAATAAAATTCCCATTCACAGCCTCTGGCACCTCAGATACCTACTTGGCCTCCTTGAAGCCCAGGTTAATCCAAACAACAAATATCAACACTACCCATCAAAATTAACTGAAACTTCAAGAAGATTCTCTAGCCAGTTTTCCCTCCATACATATTTTGCTCTTAAAAATAAATAATCTTCTGTTCTGTTGCATTTCTGTTGCTTAAAAAATGTTTCTTGAGAGATCTTCTTTCACAGTGAATCTCAAWTTGTTTGAAGGAGTTTGTTTGACACTTCCTACTAATGGAAAAGAGTCCCTTTCTGTGAGAAACCACTCTCTGAAGACATTTAAATTTCCAAACAGCTTCTTACCCCACAGTACCGCTCCTCGTTGAAGATCTGTGGAGGGAGGGGAATTCCATTCTGAGGCTTTTTTTCACCTGGGACATTTTCTCTCATCCATTTCCTATTGTCCTCATCTCCTGCTATGTCCATTTGCTGAAAGTCAATTTTGTTGGCCTCTAAAAAGCCCACGACTTCTTGCTGTTTCTTTTTTATCTGGGTAGGAAAGAGGAAAAACAACATTCCTTCTTTAAAAAGAAAACAGTTTTCTAAAAGCAACTATTACTACAAGAAGAACTCAGGCAAGTTTGTCAAGTTTACARAATCATTGAGGCTGGAAAAGACTCCAAGATCATCGAGTCCAACCTTTGGCCAAACCCCACCTTGTCCTCACCCCAGAGAACTGAGTGCCAGAGCCAGTCCTTCCTTGGACACCTCCAGGGATGGGGACTCYAAACCTYCCTGGCAGCCTGTTCTAATTCTTGACAACCCTTTCTGTGAAGAAACACATCCTGAAAGTTCCTGAAGTGGGATTCACTACCCCAGTAGCCCTCCAGCTTTTTGAAGCTGACATTCAACACTTTCTCTCACAACCCAGAGTGCTGCCACTTCATCCCTCCCACCATACACCCATCCTTCAGCTTCTTTCTTTCCTCCCTGCATSCAGTGAAAACTCCAGCTATGAAATGAGGCTCAGCAGGAAGCCTCCTGTTGTGTTCCCAGATCTGGGAGTGTGGTGTACAGATACCAATGGTGATCCTGCCTGAAGYCAGTAAAGATCTGAAAATGTACATGTTCTCCTTAGCATGGAACAGCCTCCTTCCTACCAATCACATGTGACGTTCAGCTTTCTGTGAGCCACGTTTTTCTCCATCCCCGTTTGTTGATGTTAGACATGATTAAATATCACAGAATCAGAATCACAGAATCAGAATCACAGAGTAGTTGGGACTGGAAGGGATCCTCCAGTCCAACCCCTCTGCCAAGGCAGGGTCACCTGGAGCAGGTGACACAGGAAGGTGTCCAGGTGGGTTTGGAATGAATCCAGAGAGGGAGACTCCACGCCCTCCCTGGGCRGCTGCTCCAGTGCTCTGCCACCCTCAGTGTAAAGAAGTTCTTCCTCATGTGGAGTGGAACTTCTTGTGTTTTAGTTCATGGCCATTGCTCCTTGAGATACAATATATAAATATGAGTGAAGGCTCAGGAAAATCCAGTCCAGTTTAACTCCTGTGCTTAAATAAATCCCTCATTACAGAATGACGTCCCAGTTGGACCATGAAGTACTACATACAAATAAAGCCTGTTACACACAGTCTTTTGACACCTAAAATTCACTTGTGGCCCTTATTCCCTTTGATGCTGGTTCTGCACAGGCCTAGGATGCAGGCATGGAGCTGATAACCCAYCCCTTTACTCTGAAATGTAACACTCACTATCCTTCCCTGCTGAAGGAATGCAATTCCTAATCAGCTTTTAAAGAACTTGCCACCAGACACAGCCAGAATGAGGCACCAAAGTAATTTTTATATCTTACAATTTGAAACCATGTCCTCCATATGTCAGACATCTGAACACCTGAAATTAAAGTGACACCAAGCCGGTGTAAATCAGAGAGACAGGCAATGAGATGTGAAGTAAATCATGGATTATGTATTTCCATAATCTAATAAAACAGAAGAGCTGAAGTAGAGTGAATGCCTATCATCTAAGAAGGATGAATTCTCCTAAGGATAAAATTTCTTTTCCTTGTTCAAACAAAGAAGCATCTATTCACACATATTCCTGCTTATAAAAAAGAACAAACAGAAAATGCTGTACATTTTTATGACAACAACAGATGTTTATGATGAGCTAAAAAAAGCACATCACTTTGAATGGAAACACTAATCTAAAGTTGTCAAAAGCCATGCAGTTGACAGAGCTCAAAGGTGCTGCTTGCTTCCATTCTTATTTTGACTTTTTGAACAGGGATAATTTCATTACTGGCAATTTAGCTGCAGAGTTATTTGCAGAAAACATTCAAGTAGCAGGAAGGATTGCTCAGGGGACATTTTACAGGAGAAAGCAGCAGGATAATGTTTGCATAAATGGTTAATAAAATCTGCAGGAGGCAGCACCAGGAGTAACATCACATGCTTGGACAGCCGGGGCACTCAAGTGCTGTCAGCTGCAATTCCAGGGTCAGCTCGTCCCTTTGGACACAGGCACTGCAGGAGATAGGGCTCCTGGAATAGCTGCTGCTGCAGACAGACAGTGCCTCTGAGGAGATAAAGGAGCCAGGGATTCTGTGCTCCCCTGATTATAAAAGTTGTAACTTTTAAACCTGGCTTAACAAGTTCTCTTCAGCTTGAGGTTCGTAACACACAGTCTGAAAGCAAAAGGTTGGGCGAGGGTTGTATGAAAAATTAATACTGAGGTAAAACAGTAAGTTTCCAAAGAATTATGCTGCTTAAGGAGAAGGCCAGGAGTTTATTACTGTGACAACAACCATAAACAGAGCAGATTTGCTGTGTCTTAAGGTTCACCATTACTGGCGTTTAGGCAGGAGCAAAAGACTGAAGTGTGGAACCACAAGGCAAACCTTTGCTGTGGGTGGCAACCAAAAGAATCTCTCCAGGAAGCAGCACKCACAGAGAGAAATTTAGGATGCAAAGGCTTTCCCAGAATGGATAAGACTGCAGGAGCTTCTTTGTGTCCTCACTTGTGTCTGATGGCATGGGAAGAATTCAAATTACTTAGGCATAGATTACTTGGAAAGTGGTGATGAGCAGCATAGTATTTCAGCAATGCCATTTTATCTTTCAGCAAAGCTTGAGTTCCACCATCCCTAGTTACTAGTCCCTTAAAATAAGAAATAAAAATATTTTAAATAAATGTTATCTATCTAGCATGTAAGAATTGCCAGAGAGGTTATGATCTTCCCTACGTCAGATCATTCCAAAGCTCTGCCATGGACAGGGACACCKTCCATTAGACCAAGTTACCCAGAGCCCCATCCAACCTGGTCTTGGACACTGCCAGGAATGGGAAGCCACAGTTCTCTGGGCACCCTGTACCAGTGTCACACTTTTAAAGCCAAGAATTTCTGCCCATTATCCTATCTAACCCTGCCCTCTTTCAGTTTAAAGTAATTTTCCCTCGTCCTATCCCTGCAGCCCTTGGAAATTGTCTCTCTCCATGGTTCCTGTGGGCTCCTTCAGGCCCTGCAAGGCCACATTGAGCTCAGCCCAAAGCTTCTCCTGTCCAGGCTGAACAATCCCAGCTCTCCCAGCCTTTCCTCCCAGCACAGCTGCTCCATCCCTCTGACCATCCTGCTGCCTCCTCTGGGCTCTCTCCAGCAGCTCCACGTCCTTCCTGTGCTGGGCCCCAGGGCTGGAGCAGCTCTGCAGGTGGGGTCTCACCTGAGCAATGGGGCACAGGGACAGAATCACCTCACTTATCCTGCTGGTTACGCTGCTTTTGATGCAGATTTGAAGGGGGGCAAGTTCATAAAAYGCCACCAAAATCACTGGAAATAAAAAGATTTTAGAGGTTTCATAACCATGAGCAGTAGGAAGCAGAAGACTCCCTCTGTGAATCCTCTTTCTCACACAATGTAGAATCTTGCAGGATATTACCAAATCCTAAACACTTSTATGAGCAGAAACAGAATTATTTTTTCATTGCTTGCTCCAAGCCAAGCATTTAGTGCTTTTTAGTGCTATAAATGTCTCCACTTCTGCCTGCCTTAAKGAATAGTTCAATACCAACTAAGTCTGGTGCAGAAAGATAATAAAGCTGGAGATATTTAAAATAAATTTCTGAAGCATTGAGAGGAAAAATACAGACTGCAGGCTTGCTCCAGAGCCACTGTGAATTATAACATTCCAGCATCTGATCCAGAGCACCAGAATGTCACTGGGTTCACTGAATTCACTAGCACAAAATATTTATTAACATGAAAACCACTTGCAGTGAGTACACTGACCATGCAGAACATTGAGTATTTTTCATTCTTTGCCAATGATCCTCTGCTGATTCACACCTGAGGCTGGACCCATCTTATTTTGAAATTCAAAATCTACAACACGCATTTGATGGAGACAGCCACATTGAAGAGATCACCAGAGCTACTAGGACAATTTAAACTTCAGAGATTAAATTAATTCCTCTCAGGAAAAGCTGTACATGTGTGATACAATATTTTTATTCAATAGGATTTTAGTGATATATTGAGGTTTGTGCTAACTCCTTGAGTGAGTGAATTTTATTTTACACATACCAGAACTCATTAAAGGTTCATTGAAAGGATACGTTCCATCCCTGTTCACCCAAAAATGTAGAAAACTACTCCAGCTGAACACTGGGTGTACTTGGCATTGCAATTCATAATCAGTAATTTGAGCACTTGCTGAGATTGTTACAGCTATTCACACACCCAGCACACCACAAAGGAGCTAATACAGAGGAATATTGCCAGGTGAAGATTCCATACTTTTCTTTTGGAGTCTCCAAAGGAGACCAAAACAGCCCAAACAGGAGCAAGAAGAGTGTCCATCTACAGCACGTGGCAATTTATAAAGCAACTTGAGCAATAAATGCTCTATCACAAATTGCAAATTACCAAACCTGAC